ATTGATAAAGGAGGTAATGTTACCATCATTCGGAAAGATTTAGCTTAACAATTTAAAGATAAATTCATTTGTCGCCATCCTGCGTGACCCTCCAGACTGCGTCTGGTGATAAAATCGACATAGACGAATAGTTAAACGTAAACATTACGCTTGGAAATGCCGCATAGCATCACACGGCATATGTGGCGGATATCACAGATCCTTGCATACTCGGATGGGACTTTTAAGGAAATACAATTTTTCATTGGACTTCAAAAACAACAAACTGCTTTCAGCATCTTAGGACATGATTATCCATCATCAAAAGGGATCCTCACTTGGAAACGCCGACGCTCTGTCTAGAAGATAATGCCCAGAAAGCTTCCGAAATCATACTAGGGTCGAAGAGAAAAACGAGACTACCAGCTATTCTCCATCACAGATGTATATTATGAAAAAAGTATGTACTATGGCCAATGAAAATTATTATGAACTATGTATGTATTATGTAACAGGCTCAATATATTATGAACTATGTAAGCAAGTATGACTATGTAAGCAAGTATACTATGTAAGCAACTATGAACTATGTAAGCATGTATATGTATGAACTATGTAAGAGTATTATGAAGATCATGCATTTTACTACTTGTATATAAGCATGTGCTATGAAATATTAACTATGTAAACATATATTTGAACTATGTAATATAAGCATATGTTATGAACTATTAAGCATGTTGCAGGACAATGATGCCCTTATAGGCCCCATGAGGTGGCCCCGGATAGTTGCGGAACCTGGACTAGACCCGAATAGTCTTAGTAAGCCGCACGGGTGTCCAGATTCTGCTCTCAACTCAACTCAACTCCATCACAGATGCTCATCGATCGTGACCTTCGTCTGCCTTACGATCTCTTGTTTGGTCGCCTTCCGGATGCACCTTCATCGCCTGAAGAATACATCCAAGATCTCCATGTCTGGTTTTAAGTGAAAATTTGCACGAGAACGAGTCAACTTGGCGACGGAAAAAAGGAAGACCCGATACGGCATTGGAGCTGCTGGACATAGATTCAAAGGAGACAAGGTGTGGTTGTGGAATCCGATTCGAAGGAAAGAAGTCAGTCTTAAACTATAGTCACCTTGGGATGGTCCGTACACAGTCCTAAAAATCTGAATGACGTCGTGGTTCGGACCCACAAGACATCGAATTCTAAGCCTAAAGTCGTTCATTACGACAGGCTAGCTCCTTACAATGGCCATAGTACATAGTGTACATAATGTAAATAGTATAAGACCATGGTCCTTTTTGTTTCTAAATTTTATTTTGCACCTTTATTGATTGTATTTGATTAATTTAATTATTTATTTTCATTTTGTTTTGTTGCTTTTATGGGTGTAAGGTTTAATATATATTGAGTTTAGCTGTAGGTTGGCTTCTTGTCCAGAGATTGCATGCCATGAACTTGGCGCCTGGGAAGGGTAGTGTTAGGATTGTTTAGTTAAGGATTTTTGCATAATTAATATTTAAATTGTTTTATATCTCCGTGCAATGCAGCACGAGACATATTTTCAGAGAACGCTACGCTGGAAAAGTAAAAATACGAGAGCACGGGCATTTAAAATTTAGTAAATAGATATCTCGTAGTTTATACTCGTATTTAAATTGAATAAATGTAAATTAGCTGTAACCGTTATTCTGCTCTTTTGCTTTCCAGAAACGTCGAACAAACAGAAATTACCAGAACATTCTCGTGATCGATCAAAAAGCTTTAAAAAGCTAGAGAGAAACATCTCAGTTTAGTTGTTCAGATAAACTGTTGTTGCTGATTGTAACGAATTGGCGTTTTTGAGATCGGATTGGCTTTTTCTGAGTTTTTTTTTTTTAATTGAATTCAATTTAACGTTATAGTAGTTTAAAATATAGTTACTGATTATATTGCGTGATATTGCGATATTGTACGAATATCATTGAGGAAAAATCCAGCGTTTTGCTATTTTCATTATGATAAGAATACATTTTATTAACTTTTTATCGGACTTTCGCATTCAATTTATTACGAACCCGTACTCATTCAACACTTTTTTTAAAGTCAATATTTCTTTATTTTCACTGACAAACACTTTTAATGATCATTCACAAACTGACATTAAGTACGCACATTCTTTTTTCAGACACTGCTGCAAGTAAGGACATCAATCTAGAAGAAAGTTTGGTTCAGAAGGATTTAGTTTCAGTTAAGATTTGTCCCTATTGGCTAATTTGAAATTTTAGTTCTCATATTTGAAATCCTTATTGGCTGAAGCATAATGTAAATGTCTGCATCAAAGCATTATTCAAGAATAATGTGATATGGTTTAATTTAGAAATGACGTAGATTAAAGACAGAGAGCCAATCAGATATAACAGTGGTTAGAGATGCTGACTGCCATACCATGGAATTTAATCTTGGAGAAGGCATGTTCATAAATGTGTGGTGTCTATGTGGCATGGGGATTCTCAAATTATGTGACGATCTGAAAATCATCTCGAGTGTCTTAATGGTAGAGGAAAAGGGTTGGAATATAGCACTCAAGGTTCATGCCAATGACTGGTGCAATCTTGTACTCCTTGGCGCGATAACATTTTTATTATAATTTTTAATTACATAATTTTTTTTGTTGCTGTCTTTTCGAAATATTGCTGCTTACCTCTCTTCCATCACATGCATTGTTAGAATGGTGCAAAAATGCATACATTCAATCCAGAAAAGCATGCAAATTGTGCGTAAACTTTTGTCCCCATTGACTAATGATAATGGAGGGTAACGCAGATGGTTTTACAAGTCAGTGCCTTGAGACAGAACAGGAGTGAAAAAAAAAAATTTTCTTCTTCTTTTTTCCCCTTTCTAGTAATTTCGTTCTCCTGATGAGGAGGGACCTTTAGCTGCCCTCGAAATCGATTGAGTGTTTTAATATACTTACGCTAAATACAAGGTTGTTATTGCATTTTGATTGTCACATTGGCGTGTTTCTCTTCTATTCTATAATCTAATGTCTCTACAGAATGAAAATTTATGCCAACTGAGGAAAGGAAACAAAAATAGGCGTAGTGAACACAAGTAGGTAACATTCGCGTTACAAACTTAACCTGGTACATACAGTATGCATTACCATAGAATATTAAGCTTCATTCGCAATCACAATATTACCCTATATTAGAAAAGGACTCAATCAACTGATCGAGGTTAAAGCTATTCTTCTTTTCCCTACTTTCACTCCTTAACATGAAAACATATACGAATTTTTCCCTATCTGCGGGGGAAAAAACGGAAGTGCTCGTTGTTTAGTAATGATTGTGTCACAATTTATTATCACGAGTTAGTTAAAGCAAAGGCGAGTTTTCTTCGGTGTTTACATTTAGTTTAAAGCGCTATACATGTGTATTATATGCACATTAATATTTAACAATATTTAATAATATATTTACACGAAACATTTTGTACAGTGAAGTTTTTTATTCATTTCATGAATTGTTTTGTTAACTTTGTTGCTCAAAGTTCGAATTGCAGCCCATTGTTCCTGAAAGATTTAATTCAACCACCTTCGTTTAAACCTTTATTTAATACTCACTCAGTCCCATAATAACAGTAGTAGCTGAGGAATTTGATTTGCCCCTTAGTAATAACTGATGAATTTGATTTGTGCGATAATAATCGTAGTAATTGATGAATTTGATTTGTTCCATAATAATAGTAGTAGTTGATGAATTTGATTTGTCCCATAATAATAGTAGTAGTTGATGAATTTGATTTGTTCCATAATAATAGTAGTAGTTGATGAATTGATTTGTTCCATAATAATAGTAGTAGTTGAGAATCTGCTTTGGTCATATATAGTGTAGTGATGAATTGATTTGTTCCATAATAATAGTAGTAGTTGATGAATTTGATTTTGTGCCATAATAATAGTAGTAGTTGATGAATTTGATTTGTCACGAAATGAAATAAATTTAGAATGCAACACTTATTATAAGCAAAACAAATTAGATTATATTAAGAAATAAATTATTTGAGTATTCAGAAAACTTCTGGATTTTTGAATAATTTCGTGACTGTATTTTAAACCCGTAAGGCTGCAAATCTTTGCTTACCCTATATGCTTGAGCTTGCAAGTATTGCAGCCATCGTTCTTCATTGCTTCCAGCACAATTTGTTAAAGTGACAAAAGCATATTATCCAGTACTTCGGAAGAAATATTATCAGAAGCTATGCTTACTGTTTCCGCGGTATCTCTTCTGCTAAGAGAAATATGTCTAAGTATTTCAAAGTTTTCTGTATCATCTTTACATTTGTATCCACAGTTTCTTTTTTCAGAGAATCAACATTAGCATAAGATTCAACCTGACGATTATTTTCGGAAACATGTTTTCAAATTCGTTATATGGTCATCCTATTGCACTTAATCCGTTTTTCTGCTAACTTAATTGCACCTTTCTGCAACATTTCGTTTTTCTTTTGATGCATCAAGAACTGGACAATCGTAACTCGATCTTTGCTATAATCGGTTGATATTCAGCTGAAATTAAACAACTGATTTCGATCAGGGGATAAAATATGAAAATTATAGTTATAATACGCAATAATTAGATTAACCTAAAATATTCAAAAACTCATTAAATGTGTCAGAACAAATGACAGATGTCACGAAACATTGATTTTGATTGAAAGCTTCGCAGTTTTGAGCTACAGTATAACCTACAGCTACATTAACTAATAATTCTCATTTAAATATTCACTTGCTATTATTATTATGGGAAAGAGGAAGTATTATTTTATTTATTATTTAATTTACTTTAATCTTTTCTTAATCTTATCACCAAGTCTCAAAATGTATATATATCTTTAAAGTTGAATTAATTCTCAACTTTTAAATTCTCTCATTTTCATTCACATGTATTTCATACCCTAGCGAGTTTCACTCGTTCGCTTATTCGATCCGTTTGAGAATCTGGGGCTATTTGTTACATAAATGAAAAAAAAACTTAAGTTTAACATCGATAAAATATTTTATTTCTCAATAACATATAATTTGGCTGTTCATAAAATATAAATCTCTGAAAGGGAAACTATGTACAATAGGAACGTTTGTTTGAAGGCAGAAATCCTTAACCATGATGACAGCCTCCATGTTGCATCTCGCTCAGCATCTTGGCAACCATGCCTGCTGCCAACATCTCAACGATCCTAGAGCCTCCTCCGTGTTTGTTGCCCTTTCCCCCCATCATTCCTCCACCTCCACCTCCTCCACCTCCGCCTTGGCCGAAGCAAACTCCTAGGAGAGTGACAGCAATGAAGATGGCGAAGAAAACTCGTCTGTTGCAATGCATTTTGACTGTGCTGTAAAGAAGAGTTGGACACATTTTAGTACCATAAAAAAAAAGAAACTGTATTTTATTTCTTAGTTAAAATAACACGCCGAATAACTATTATTGGAGATGCTAAGGCAATGAGAATCGGTTTAATATTCATATATTTTCAGGATTGATTTCGATTGTTTAAATATCGAACCTTCTACTTCAGCTACAGAAGTGCAATTGACGAAAGAGAAGCCTTTGCTTAGGCGATAACAATAATATGAAGTTGGCGCCATCTATTGGTGAAGAACGAAAACAGCTGTAAAATAATTTTCTTAAAAGCTGTGAATAAAGACGGATTGGAACTGGGATCTTTAACTAGAACTAAAACTTTTAAGCTTTTACTGCAGTTTATATTTAATTTAGAAACTCGTTGAAAGATAATTGCTGAATGGAAATTTTTCAAAGACAGTAATTTTTGATCTACTGTAGGTGCCGCTTAATTGCGATTACGTTTGTCCAAGACTGTTTTCATAACATTAACCGAGCAATACATCAAACAATGAAAAAAAAGTGTCCTTCAAAATAGAAATGGAATTTGAATAATTTAATATGAAAAAAATCAAGAAATATATAAATAGATATTTTCACATTTTAATTAGGAAAATGCAGATGTTTGTTTATGAAATGCTTATAACGTTCCTGGAAGTTATTCGACCAGTGCTGTACCCCTAAACTGAACATTCGGAAATCATCCTTCATTGGAAGACAGAATGCTAATATAAAATTGATATATTCGTCAATTGTAAAACTTATTGTTCTGACTTCAGATTAGGTGTGAAATTCGATGGCACTTGACTTTCATATGAATGCTATGCATTGTGCCTTTGTATAGGACAGAATGCACAAACAAAATTAGAACTAAAAATTTTTCAAGAAACATTCAAGAAAATATTAGAATCAGTCAAGATGACTTTTTAGCAGAAATGATATTTCTAAAAAGGACCGAAATGCTCAGTTTTATTCATAACGTAGATTTTTAAAATAGTAAAATTTAAAGGCAGCAAATACAAAATCACAAACTACCTTCAATGACATACGTATAGTTCTAACTTTGTTGTTATTTCTTTAAAAAGAAGATAGGGTCAAATAATAAATCGAAATACTATTAATATTCAGTGACTCAGATTAAGAATAAATTCACACGGATAACAACATAGACCTGCAAATTAAGTAAGCGATATTTGGCGCGATATATTATGTTTAAATTTAGTGAACTACTTTCTCGACTGGGAGTGACATAACTTTCTCTTTGGAAATGCTTTGAAAGTATACGTGTCATTCATTTTACCCGACGTTTTGCGATTTTTCCTGATGTTTTTTTATTACTTATTTCTATCGTTACTGCGAAACACAGGTTTAGGGGTTGTTATATATCTCCTTTTTTTACATTACATATTATTTAGATATTTCACATATTCATTCTATAACAAATTTTGAAAAAGCAAATATTTCTGAATAAAAGTACTATCAACATCTTATTATTTGAAATGAGAAATATCGTCTGCTACTTTTAAATTTATTCTTCTTTCAAAATGTCGCATATAAACAAGTTCTCAATTGAAGGATAAGTTTTTGCGCTTATCAAAGAGAAATATCCCTATTCTATAATTTAAAAACGTTGTGAAATGCATATATTAAAATTTCTAAGAGCACAAGAAGCAAAATTATTAATTGGGAAAGAAAACACAGTCAATTATTACTTCTTAATGTTACTATGTTAGATCATTGGTAAAAGGAGAAATCCCGATAACGCAGAAATCAGTAAGTCTTTAAATGCATCCGTAACAGCAATAAAAATAATTAACTAAGATTTACAGCTTAAAAATTCTAAAAGACATAATGTTCACTGGCATTTGCCGAGTGCCGAATAAAGCATGGGTTAACTTAAATTATTGCAACAAAAAAGTCTATTTATTACCTAGTCTAAAAACCTGGTTCCGTTAATGCAAGAAAAGTTTCTTCAAAAAGTTTACGATTGTCGCATGATTCTCTTACAACTGGAGATTAAAAATAAGAAGGTGGGGGGGGGGAAGATATTAACACCAACTTAACACACTATCAAGAGAAAGTTTTACCTCCGATTTTTACAGAAGAAATTTCATTTCTTTTTCCATTTATTTCCCAATGACTTTCAAGGAGTGAAATTTCGTCAAGACAAAGCAGCAAGTCATACTTCGGAAAGTACCACAGCATTCCTTGAACAAATGAAGGCTGATACAGGTATTGCATATATGTATACCTTTTTAACGTATTCCTGCTAAATACCCAGATATTTAACCTAGGTAATTATTGTGCTTTTGGTCTCTTGAAAAGAGCTTTTTCTACCTCGATTGATAGATTCTGGAAAGTAGTAGAAGAGGAGCGGAAAACAATAACATTGGAAATTTTTAGAAAAGCCCTGCTGTCATGGAAATCATGCAGACTTATTGTATATATTGTCATGCAGACTTATTGTATACTTTTAGACTAAAATTATAAAGTAGACTAATGAAAATTAATTACAGTAATTTATTTAGTTTTAAGAACAAATTTCAAATTAAAAATTTAATCTTCAAATTAAAATTTTAATCTTCAAATGTTATTATTTTTTAAAATTTAATACTTAATAAATATAAGAAGCTTTTTTTCCATTCTAATATTACCCACGTTTTTCTTTAACTGCAGACGTAATGAAGAATAAAGAATCTCAAAAGAGAGCGAAAAGCACTTACATTGCTTGCCTTTGTAGAAGAAGACAGAAGATTCTTAATCGATGACAAATCAAATTATGAATTGCATATTTGATTCGCAGCTTTATATACATAAATGTTTTTAATGAAACCATTAATTTTTCTTCTTTCCCCCCCCCCTCTTTAAGTTCTCAGACAATTTGTAATCTCCTTACACCCTCAGGAAAAATCGTCTGCGCATCGAAAATCATCATCATGGAAGATTAATACCGCATTCGCTTTCATTCTTTTGCATAGACACACTTTTCCCCTTCTCTGCGGCAAAGATTTTGCGAACGATTTTCGACTCATCGGCTGTTGAACCTTTTTTTTTTTTTTTTTTTTTCTCTTTCTGTCTCTTGTTTTAATGTTCTCCAACTGTCTCCGTTATGCGGGTAGGTTTAGAACAAATAACAGGATTTTACCGCCGCATTAATTCTGTCATTGGCTGTCAGAAATGAATCGAAATAAGTTAGTCGGTCGTGGCTTAAAAGATTTTGCTCGAAGTAAGCAGGAAAATTTTATACTTCAGGTAATAAAAAAAATAAAAAAAATCGAAGAAAACATCCATTAGACTTAAAAAAAATCCAACCAGATGAGAATGTTTGTTAAATCAATTTAAAACGAAGTTTACAGTCTTTTTATTAGTTTTTATTTAGTTCGCTCATTGTCAAAAATTTATCATCAGTAAACATTCCGTATACACACAATTTGTCGATGGCAGCGCGATATGATAATGCGATTTTTTCAAAATTCGGTTCTTTTTTATTATTATTATCGGAAATAAATTTCTTAAACGAACTTATGTGAATATATCAACTTAATTTCTTAATTTTTTGCAAATTTTTGAAACTCGCTCGATCATCTCGACTGTATAGCGTCAATCATTTTAAAATTTGAATATCTGAAAAAACATGGAATATAAAGTTTTGGAACTTTCACACATTATAAAACAAACATCTTGTCCTAGTTTCAAGTAAAAATTACAGAAGAATATTAAGCACGTGATTGAAATTAATTACAAAATTCATTGCATGTGAAAGAATCATTACATATTGCTGCAAAATGATTTTTAATTCAATTTTCATTCTTAAGGTGCAATTTAAATTAAAAGGTATAAAAACAATTTTAAAAAGAACTAATTTTATACAAGAATCTTTTATTGATATCATAATTATTGAACTCAAACAAAAAATAACTTATCATAACATTTTTACGGACACAAATATTAAAAATTCTCTTTACAAAATCCATCTATAATTATGATACCAATAAGTAAATTCTGATATGTATTTGTAATAACAAATTATTTGTGTATTTTTATTAAAAGCAATCCACGCTTTTTTTATTTGTGATATAAAACTGTAGACAAATATTATAAAGAGAACTACTTAATCTGCAGTTTCCATAAAATGTATAAATTATTTTTCTGCTTTCAGTTCATTAATTATGATATTTATTTTAAATAAAAGTTTATCGTACAAAACAATTTTTAGCCCAGAGAGCTATTAATCTCGAAACGGCTATAAATACCCGTTTCACATTTCAAATTGTTGCCATCAAATATTATCGCCCTATATTATATTTAAAGAAACTAAATAATGACGAATCTAATTTCATTTGCATGAATGTATGTATGTTCCTCGCATTGGGAAAAGTCAATGGTACCTAGAGACATCAGATTCTGAAAAACATAGACCTCCACTCGAAGTTGGAAGTCCTAATTTGGAATTTGGAATTTTTTTTTTTTTTTAATTGTCTGTTTCAAATTTTGTAAAACTTTAACGAATTTTTGATTAACAAACTCAACAATTTCAAAGCGAGCAATGGCAACACTGTAGAGAATAAAACATTTTTATCTGCAGCGCGCGAGACACTATCCGGAGTTCTAAAAATATGACATCTTTAAATATTTTTAGCCCAGAGTGGAGCTAGCCGAAATGCTCTCGAAGCGTGTATGTGTCTGTAAATGAAGAAAACGCTCGTTTGATTAATATAAAATCTGAAAGATTTCAGATTTTATTTATTTATTTATTTTGTTAGTTTGTTTAAATAAATTTAAAATTAATAAAATAATAAATTCGTCAACATACAGTCACTAGACTTTACGTTTATCAAATTTTTCTAGGTGCATTTAAAAGATTCAAACTCCAAAAATAAGAAAAATTAATTTTCAGAATCTGAGCCATATTTTATGAGAGCAAAATTTTAATTATTTTTTTATTTACATTAATAGTGCTGCAAGCGAGCAAAATTTAAATCATTTGTTAAAAACAATATGAAATAAACGAACTTTCCTAGATAATTGTAGTTTAGGGTCATAATTTTAATTATTTAGAAAACTATTAAAAAGAAAATAGTTTTAACAAAAAGCAAAACAAAAAAATAAAAAAATCTAAAGGTTTCAGATTTTAAATTACGTTCAAAGGGGCTTTTTTTGAACGTTTTGTGTGTAACATTTATTTATTAAATATCATGTTCTACGTAATCGAACCTTAAAAATTCAGTTCAACATCAATACCGCAAAATAACTTTTAAACTGAGCGTATCTTTAGAATATCTGATACACAATCTCACGCGCTGGAGGTAAAAATGTTTTTATTTTTACAGTGTTGCCATTGTTCTCTTTGAAATTGTTGAGTTTGTTAATCAAAACTTGTTAAAGTATTACAAACTATTAAATCGATAATAAAACAAATTTCAAATTCAGATTAGGACTTCCACATGCTCATATTCCATGGAAAATTACGTTATTCAAATTTTGATGGCTCTAGGTACCGTTTTTTTATCGTAATGCGAGAAACATACATATATTCATACAGATTCTTCATTATTTAATTTTTATAAGTATAATACAGGGCGATAATATTTGGTGGCAACAATTTGAAAAGTGAAACAACGCTTATCGTGAATGGACGCAAAATGCCAAAACGAAATTAATAGTCCTTCTGGGAAAATTGCTCCTTTGGACTAAAAACTGTAAAAATTAAATTTTATTTTTTTAATTTACAAAATTTTTTATAACACATATGATGTCCTTCACATAAGTTATTCTTTTTATTATGCAAGTATTACGCCAGTGTCTCTAAAAATGAACTTTGAGATTTCAAGTTTCCTCTGTGAATTGTGGATTTATCAATGGCCGAGCGGTAAAGTCGCTTTCATGTCGAACGGACTAGATGCATGGGCGTTTTCGTAGTTTTCCCAATGAGCATAATAGATACGAGCCAGTTTACTTAGAAAGTCTTTCCCGAAGACATGACTTCCCGAAGACTGCTAGCCCTAGTATGCTTTGCTATAATCGAATAAAATCAAAAAAAAAACAAGCCTTTGCGAAGTGAGTATTATGTGAAATGGATTGAAGATATTTTTGTTAATTCAGTCGCTTCAAAAGATCTCGAACAAAATTGATAATTTTGACTATGTGCAACATTAACAGCACGACAGCAATATTCAGTCTTGGTTTCAGGCGAACTTTTGGTATAAAGCTTGTTTCTTCTAGAGGTGGACAAGATTACCAGCTCTTTTTTAAAATCTCATTTTAACAAAACCCATGAATAATAATTTGTAACTTTTTCGAATATGGCTTAAGATACATTTGTGCAGATTCATCGTCCTGAGAATCGAAGATTTAGCTTATCTCCAAATATATGCAAAGTTAGACAGTGCATTATCGTGCTGAAACACTCTACCAATAAGTATTTGGACACCTGTGATAGAAAAGAAAAACTAACTTTATTCAAAATCAATAGTTGGTAGAGCCTCTACGAGAGGTAATTACAGCGTGGACCCTCCGGGGCGTACTTTCCACAAGTCTTTGTATGGACAGCTAGTGGAATTTTCTTTCCACTCGCTTGGAGAAGAGATGACATAGAAGTTCCTTCACCGATATTGGACGGTTGTTGCACCCCTTAATTCGTCGATCCAACTCGTCCTAAAGGTTCTCGATAGCGTTCAGGTCTGGGCTTTGGGTAGGTCAGTCCATTCGGTTGAACCTCCATTGGTCACCATACCAATCCATGGTTAACGTCGAAACATGACAACTGGCATTGTCATCCTGAAAGTAACTTGGGTCTAACCCGTAAATCTGCCACAAGTAGGAAGCGCCCTGCCATCCAGAATAGTGTAGTAGGTGTCAGTGTAGAGTTTACCATGAATTTGGACCAAGGGTCCTACCATACCAAGAGAAACACTCCAGACCATAATTCCACCTTCGCCGAACTTGACTGTAGGACACAATGCAATTTGGCAGGAGACGTTCTCCAGGTAGACGCCAGACCCAGACCCTGCCATCCGAACGGTAAAGGGTGAACCTTGATTCGTCACTCCAAAGAACCCGTTTCCACTGATCTACGGTCCAATTTCGATTTGCTTTGCACCACATTAACCGAGCAGCGCGGTTGGACTTTATGATCAAAGGCTTATGGGCAGCAGCACGACCATGAAAACCAAGCAGATGTGCTTCCTTACTGATGGTATTCATTGAAACAATACTCTCGGATGCCTGTTGAAACTCCTCGCGGATGAGGGCCATCAGTTGGGTGCGGTTTTTCCGAATTTCTCTGGACAGCACTCGTCGATCTCTATCTCCCAATTTCGTTGGTCTGCCGACTCGGGGCACATTCCAACAATTACCACTCACCTTCCACTACTTAATCACATAGGCCACTGTCAATTTTGAGCACTTCAGATCGCTAGATCTGTCCCTTAAGGATCGGCCACATTTGTGATTCCCGATAATTTAACCTTTATGGAAATCAGAGAGCTCCGAACTTCGAGGCATCTTGCATGCGACTAAAGCCGATGCTGTTTCCTACACGATATATACCGGTGGAGTCCGTGAGGTACCTTAGGACCTCAGATATCGTCATTTGCATAGGTGTCCAAATACTTATTGGTAGTCAGTGAAGAAGACGTGCAACTCAGCATCTTAAATTCATTTTAGTTCATTTGCTTGGTTTGATAAAGCAAAATTATCTGTAATTAATTTCAACAAAGAAATAAGGGCCAAAGTTCTTGTTAATCATCAGGTCACATCATACGTCAAGTTTAAAAGAAAGTCAAACATTATAAGAATTTTCAGAGCTGTGAGTTTGGAAGCTGTGGTTAGTAAAAATGCATTTCCACCATGTTTTTGAATGGTTCTATTAAATCAAATCACTTTCAGACCATTTCTCATAATAACATATTTCACAGAGACATCATGAAATTCTAGATGCTTCCTTCTCAAACATAATGCATAGCTGATATTTAACATGATAAATTTCGTACTTTTAACCAATGTTTCATGTGCAGAAGATTATAAAATGCTTCAAATTTTCTTATTATTTTGTTTTATTTATTATTAAAATTCCTTTTACAAAACGATTAGTTTATATTTCTGGCGTACATTTTAGCATTTAAAACTAAGAGCTTGG